GGGGGAGAGAGAGAGAGAGAGAGAGGAGGCTTTGTAGTTTATGCATACAAATTGATAGAAACATGTATTTCTTCTTTGAGCAGAAAGGAGTGACAGATTCAGAAAAAACTTAGTCGCTCGCTCTTGGGCACCATTGACTGAGATCTGTAAACCTGCTTTACAGTGTTTACACTCAGGTCACTCTTCAAACTATTAGAGTGCTACGAGGAGTGGGCACCACGCTGCATATCTGCGTCAACGTGCACATGCACATGCACATGCACATACACAAGTGCATGTTTGTAAATGAATTGACCGTACATTCCTGCATGTGTTTGTCTGCCTAAGTGTGTGCCTATGTAGGTAGTTAATGCGGCTACTATATGCCCATGGGGATGGGGATAGGGATGGGGAGGGTTTGTTTTATCTTTAAGATTATTTATTGTATTGTATGTATGAACAATGGAATGTCAATTTTCCTTTTGCATCGAGTGAGGGAGGTGCTGTCCCTTTGTGCTCACAAACACCCCTACGGTCATGCTTTACGCCGGGGCAGTTGGGGATTGTCAATGTCACTGGTGAAATCCGCACAAGCACGAAGTCAGGGTCAGGCACCACCGGTGCTATGTGTGTGCTAGGAAAGCACAACCTCACCAATGCTATGTCCGTGCTAGGAAAGCACAACCCGACCAGGGCAGCTGGGGATTGTCAATGTCACTGGTCAAACCCGCACAAGCACGAAGTTAGCGTCAGGCACCACCGGTGCTATGTGCGTGCTAGGAAAGCTCAACCTTGAACCTGACCAATATTTGCGGCAAGTTTCATGTTCCCAACCATGAACTTAGCACCGACCGGGCCTGACCCTTGGCTGACGTGGTCAGGTGGTGCACGCCGGAGGTCGTTAGGGTCTGATTTCCCCCCTGTTCCACCTTACCATGGCTGTATGCGAGGGCGAAGGGACTCGAACCCAGCACCTCCAGGGAGGGCATGAGTCTCTCTCTAAGCCTGTAGGCAGACGAAGAAAGACCCGAGCTCTCTCGTCGGTCGCACATAGGGGACTGGGGCCCCTATCGCCACCCAGTAATAATGGTACACTGAGCACGAAGGGTAGCAAGCTTCCAGAAGCTCAGCAGCCATCCGTCGGGCTCAGTTCTAGCCGATCTTCCCTCAGAAGCTCTTTCACTTGGTGTATTGATGAGCTCTGGGGTAAGGCCAGGAGGGTAGAGCAGCGATAGCGGCCACCTTGGAGTGGCAGAGTTCGATTGCTGTGGTCCATGGCATGAAGAAGGGCTACCGTCTTCCTCCTAACATAGCGCACCGTCATCATGAATGTATATGAGCTATCTTTCCAGTCCAGTACAGTTGTGATGAAGGGTGTTATATTTGACGACACATGTTGGTGGGGTGCCTGTGAGTGCTACTGATCGATGGACTGGGGAGCGGCTCTATTTTGCGGCGGCAGCAGTTGCTGTGATCAATAAAGTCAAGAATGACTCTTCTTCTCTATTTGTCAGAGAGATGCTGCCGGAGCAGCAGGAGTAACAGGTCCACCTCTGTCAAATCCTAACAGTAGGAAAGGAAGACTGGCCAATGCGCACATTTAGGAGTAACAGGTCCACCTCTGTACCATGGGCTATTGTGGGACGTTGAGTGGCTATTGTGGGACATTGGGTGGCTATTTTGAGACCTTGGGTGGCCGTTCTAGGAGTTTTAGTGGGCAATTTAGGAGCTTAAGTGGCCATTTAGGAAGGTCAAGTGGCCATTTTGGGAGCGCAAGTGGGTATTCCGGGAGCTCAAGTGGGTGTTTCAAAAACTCAAGTGGCTATCTGGGGAGCTCAAGTGGACTACTGCTGGCCGAAGGGCTAGTGGCACTGTGCTGCACTAGTCGTCACCCTTCTTGTGGCTCCTTCGTGTGGCTGTGTGTGGGGAACCCCTGGCACAGCCAAGGGCAGGATTCTCTGAAAGCCCCTCCGGAATGCTAGGCATGGTCATGATAGCTGCATCTGACCCAAAAATTGCCCTGTGTACAGGTATAGAAGCCTATATTGAGTGGGCCTTATGTTTGGGGAAAGACAGTAGACAGGCTAGGGGGTTACACATTACGAACAGTGGAACATGTGGTTGGGATAGGAGTGGGACCGGTGAAAAAAGAGGAAGATGCTATGGAGGTTGTGGAAAAGGTCATCAAAATGAGTTTGATAAGCTTAACAACTATAGTGATAGTATAATCACGATAACAAAGTTCTGCACCCGCCAATTATGGGTAATTCGGCGTGTATGTGCTAGTATTAATAATGAGGATAATGACAAAAATGATAAAAGAAAAGAGGGAGAGAGGGGAGAGAGAAAGAAAGAGAGCCAAAGAAAGACATAGAGGGTGTGTCAGAAATCACCCTCTGGTGTGTCTCTGATCCAAGTCGGCATTGGGGAGTCAGAAATAGTGTAGGAAAGAAGAGAGAAAGAGATGCATGAGGAAGTCAGAGAAGGAACGTCCACCACTTGGCCACCATTCCTTTCTCGTGAATGACCTTTCTGTTTTCCTCTCTAAATTTGGGGTCTATTTTTTGCCCTCGTGTTGAAGTGCTCTCTCTCTCTCTCTCTCTCTCTCTCTCTCTCTCTCTCTCTCTCTCTCTCTCTCTCTCTCTCTCTCTNTCTCTCTCTCTCTCTCTCTCTCTCTCTCTCTCTCTCTCTCTCTCTCTCTCTCTCTCTCTCTCTGTGTGTGTGTGTGTGTGTGTGTGTGTGTGGGGTTTTGGTATTTTTCTGCCTTTGCTTCTTCTTCTTTCTCTTTTCCCCTTCCACTGCCTAACTGTTGAGCATTTGTAATTATGGTGGGTCATGTGCACAATTCAACATGCGCAGTGGAAACATGAAAATTCATGGAAATGGCCAGGTCAGGATAAGCAATGCATTCCCCCCCCCCCCTCTTCCCTTCCCCCGACCACTGCCCCACCTGCCCCGGACCAGGTGGGGGACGGCAAGTAAACAGTGTTTTTTTGTACCCTTGCCAACCCCACCGATAAGCTGTGGTCTTTTGCCACCCCCACATTCCATACCAACAAAGCTGTGGCTGCAGGGAAAGCTGCCGAGCAATCCTGAGTCCCTACACTTCACATTTTGTTGTCAGACCATCGTGCGACATGTGCACTCCTTTCTTGAAAAGAAGGGCTTTACACCACCCCAGGCCATTCGAGTATGGGCAGATTCAGATTCCCAAGAGGAATTCTGTATTGCCCCGCCTCTTCACATGGAGTGCCGGTCCTCCTGCCACTGGTTCCTCTGAGAACTGCGGCCCGTGTTTTCCAAATCTGCCCATCAGGATCTAGAATCTGAGCATCTCATGCATTAATTCAGCGCCATGCTTTTGACTCCCGATGCCAAGTGGGACCTCAGGAGGAAAATGTCATCACTGATTCACAGGCCATTGCTGGTCAGCAGTGGGGTGGAAAAATTGCCCTCCACCCCCTCCATCCACAATTCTTACAATTGACAGTAGGGGTCGCACTGTAAACCACAGGGTGGAGTCGGGTATGTCCTCCACCTCGTAGCCCCCACATCTGACGCACCACGGGGAGTCCTTTCATGATGGCTTTCTGGTAGGTCCTCTTAACTCGTGGGCAGGCAGTGGGAGTTATCTCAGGGCAGATTTCAGTCACAGCAGCACAGAATCCTTCAGAACAGGCTGTTTCTTAAAACTACAAGAACGACTAAGGAACAGGTGGAGGAGAATGACAAATCAAGAGTAGATAATCACACAGAGCAGTAACAACAGTTGTCCTGACCTCCATAGGGGGTGGTGGGAGAATTGACTACAAAGAGAGGTACGATTGAACTGCAAAGGACCTGAGAAACCAGGAACTGACCAACAACAGCCAAATGACAACAACAACCACGATAACAACAATGAGATGAACGGAACAGCTGCGCTAGGGGGTGTACTCGGGGGTGTACCGTTATATTCTGTGTGCTTGTGCTTTCCGGCACGTGCGCCAAAATCTGGCTAGCAGTGGAGCTTGGTGTGACAGCTAAGTTCTAATAAGATTGCAAAAGTGCCAATTCAAAGGCGGTAAAATTGATGATTCCTTTCCTTACCAGGGTCAGGCAAAGGCCATAAGACCGAAGGCCTCGTTCTGAGCTGGGCACCTACATCAGGGCAAGCGCTGTGTCCGCGACTCAGCAGGCGTTTCGAGAGCTGAAAGCGACTCTGACTTCGGCTCCTATTCTCATGAGGCTGGACCCAGAAAGGCCTTTTATTCTCATCACCGATTGGCAGCCTGAGGCAACCTCTGTGATCCTGGCCCAACCAAGTTTAGAGTTTGATTGAGCCTCTCCTAAATTTTAGGGGGCTCATTCGCCGATAAAATAAATTGATGGCGTGTGGCCTCCGAAAGGGGTCCGCGGTTGATGGCGGGCATGTACTGGTGGTTTCTGCAATGATGTCGGGCAGGATAGCCTAGGAGGCCGTTGTTGGGACCTTTGATTCCCGAACCAAGTCCCGACACTTGAGATGTGTGATATATGGCTAAGACGTGCACAACAAAGGAATCCGGAATGAGGAGGCAAGAGAGAAGGAAAATATTAGATGAAGGATTAAGACGGGATCGCAGGCGTCAAGGACTCGAGATGGGCCGAGACCACCAAAGCTTTAAACCATTAGTACCTCCGCCAGTGTTGGGAAAATAGGGAAAAGTGGACGTTTTTCCAAATTCCTAAAATTTCGAAGGCCGGGCCCGACGACGGCTGCCATTGATAAATCTGCTCGACGACCGTCGTTTCGTTCCGGCCTCCGAAAAGGTCAGAGGCCCACCCGAGGCCCGCTATTTTCCCACGCGGCAAAGGTACTTGTGGTTTAAAT